CCCCCCCCCCCCCCCGCCCAGGCACATGTGAGATATCACACCCTGAAACAAGAGGAGATTCCTTTCCAGGAGTGTATGAAAGGCCCTACCACACACATGCAGTATCCACCCTCTCCCCATGCATCTACCAACCCCAGATACCCCCTCTCTACTCTACTTCCTGCAGTCTTCTCTCACCCTAGGTTTCCAAGAAGAGCATTTCTGCCTCTAGCATCAGAGGGAAAGTGCCAAGTGCTGCCTAGAGTTCCCTGGCAGGGATGTGAGAGGTGAGTAGGAAGCACTTTAAATGTTCTAGCCTCCTCCATCTACACCAGCAGTGCCACCCCCCAGGGTACTTCAGGGAAGCAGGAAGAAGATAGAAAAGCTCAAGGTGAGTTACTGTCTGCAGCCAGCTCCCCTAAAAGATGCACTTTCCTCTGCCTTTCATGCAATTCCTGATCAGCTCTGGGAAGGTCAGCTTTACCCCCTTCAAATCAACACCACCCTTCTGAACAAGGGGCAGTAAAACAGCTTTAAAAGATCTGATAGAAAGAGTGTTCTCTATCAAAGTCTACAGGTTGGTAAAGCAGCTTCCACAGAACCCTGCTGAATGTCATTATCCAGGCAGTATCCAAGCATCCTAAAAGCTACCCACAAGAGCTGGGATTCACACTTCCTGCCCAAGCACAGGCAGCCTGTCCAATATCAGTCCTAACCACAACTGCCAGGATTCAAACCCTCAGTCTCTGGGTACAGCACAGGTAAAGCTTTAACAAGCTAACAACAGAGGTTGCCTGTTTGCAACCTGGGAATTAGCAGGGAAGCACTCACACAGAGATGCGAGAGAAGGAGCCGTTGCTGACAAGCAAGTAGGCGGAAGGGAAGGTGGTCACGTTGTGCTCGTTCACCAGCTCCTCCTCATTGCTCAAGACTCTCCTGACAGCAATGTTTGTGTACTGCTGCATGTCCAGGGTCACCTGCAATGCCAGATGCTCCCAGGTCAGGCTACCCAAGGCACAGAATGTCCCAGGAACTAGACCCATCACAGAAGTTTTCCTCTGTAGGCAGAGCTTACCCCAGGGAGTTCAGTGGGAAGCCCATGGCTCCTCCAGGCCAGCAGGACAATTCAGTTCCAGCATAACCCTTCACATCCTCCAGGCAGTGCCCAAACATTACCTGGCCCTCCCAATAGTCCCAAGAGGTAGAAAAAACATTAACTGTCATTGGAACCACACAGGGGGTAAGGAACTGGCTCAAACTGGGTGAAGAGATGAGTTTGAAACCCATCAATTTCTGGCTCTTGAGCCCAGGGCTCATTCATCTTTGGAAAACTACTTGGAGCTCATATTCTTCCCTCTGCAGCAAATGGTATGTGATATCTATGGAAACTAGAAGGGGCATAAAGAAGGGCTCCAGACTAATGTTATGACTCAATGTCAATTAAACTCTGCAGAGATGCAGGGTATGGAAGGAGAACTTGCTCCTCTGGTCATACTACTTGGCAGAAACCTCTTTGGGAAAATAACTGCCCTCTCTCTTTCTATGTGCTAACAACAACAAGCACAGGCATGTGGGGGGGGCTCACCACAACTGTAGGGGCTAGAGCAACATAACATTACAAGAAAACATCACCTCTCTGCCCACAAAGGAGTTGTTCTTCTCAAAGATAAGGGCCAGGTACACAATTTTGTTTTTCTGAAAGAATCCACGAACCTCCTCTGTGCTATAAGGGAAAGCAAGACAACAGGATGGTTGTAACTAAGACAGGAACATTCCCTCCTCCTAACCACTGGAAAAGTGGCAACAAGTGCATAAAGAACAAATAAGCAGCACCACATGCGTAACTCTTCAAGTTGGGAAATGGCTACATTATACAGAATCTGCAGAAACATGAGGTTGAAAGGAATCTTAAGGGTCACCTGGTGCAGCCCTGCAGATGAGTTGAAGTGCCGGTGGAAGGAGCAAGAGGCAGGAAAGCCCACGTACCAGGTGCCATTCCCAATTTGACTGATCACAGATCTGGTAGCAACGATTTTTTTTTTTTTATTCTTATGTGCAATGCCTCAAAATTCTGGACAGAGTTTATCCAGTTCTTCCCAGTTGAGATGGCCATTTCCATATTCTTGTTCCCATTAGTTCTGCCTTCCCCCCCTCTACAACCCACATTCACCACCATCAGGCATACTGAAAACTGAGGTGTGGTATTCATTTTGGTTTTGGGCCATGCCTAAGCTATCTTTTTTAATCTCTCCCTCATCTTCAGCACACAGTAGCCCTAACCCTTGCAATATTTTTCTTTGGGTTTGTGGAGGTTTTTCATTTGTATGGCTGGAAGTGTTTTGCTAGGTGTTTTAACATCCTTTGTCAGTTAACATCCATCTTACTTAGTTTGCTTTGGGGCAATTCTTCCATAACACTTCCTGACTACTCACACACACCTTTCTTTTCTGATAAGTTCCTTTTTTTCATTTCTTACAGGATTCCCATGTACTCCTAATACCATATTTTCTGGAATGCAACACACCCTGGAATAAGACAGACAACTTGTTTTTCAAAGTCAGAATGAAGAAATAAAGAGCTGTGCTTGTAATAAGTCACTGAGTAGCAGCAGCTCAGGAGTCCAGCCTCATTCACTATTCTGTTTCCTGTGGAATATGTGCAATTTCTTCTTTTTGTCCCCCATAGCAGAAGCTTGAGCAACAGAAAGTGCTGTTGCTGTACTTCCTTGCTTATAATGCACACCCCAATTTCCAATGTGGGGGGAAAAAAGGTGCATCTTGTATTTAAAGAAAATAGCATATTTTTGAGGTGGTTCCTTTATCCACTTTGGTCAGGAGCCCTTCCCCACAACTGTTTTCCCCATTACTTGGGATACAAGATCTAGATAGTTTGTGCATCTTTGACTTGCAGGAATTCCAGGTTTCGTCCACATGCAAATCTCTGGGCTCCATATGTCAGCTGACTTCACATAGTTCTCTTTTATTTCTGAAGGGAAAACTTTGATAAACAAGCACTTCAGTACTGAACAATTTTTGTTTATCCTTTCATTTCTTTTTAATGATGCCAATGCCTGACCATTTAATCCTACTGCTTATTTTCTCTGATCAGAACTTTTGAAATCAAAACCTTAGTTATAGACCTAGTTTTGTTTATTAAGTGTCCAGAAAACCTCAGAAAGAAAGCCTGGGAAAGGCATCCACTCCACTCTCAAAGGAATTCAGTTAGAAATGATAAACATGAGTGCTTCTAAAGTGAGCCCCTGATTACTGTCATTATCAACGTGTGGAAGAACCTAGATTTGGAGCCAAGAAACATAGCAGAGTATCCATGACAGAACTGCTACTAAAAGCCTTGTTAAGGATGACTCTGCTCCTTTCCTGATCTCTCACCCCACAAGACACCAATGCTCCCCCTGCCCTTGGAAAGATCTCATCTCTGAGCCCAATTGCATGCTACTATATCTCTCTCTCTCACAAACATGCACACACACTAATTACAATTGGTACCCGTGTTGTTCCATTACCCTCCAGTTACCTGGCTGGCTTCAATGGGGGATAAACATCCTGGTACTTCTCTAGGTGGGTGATTATGCCCTGTCTCAAGTCCTGAGGGCTGGAATCAACATCTGTAGAGGGAACGAAATACACAGAGCTTAACCCCATAGCAATCTTCACAAGCAGCCAAGGGTGGTATCTGTTGGCTAGTAGCTGACACAACCTGTCCCAGCTCCAGCTCTCATCCATACTGGGTCCCTCCCGTCTTGCTGCCACATCAACTTTGTCTTGCAGAAGAGGGATCAAAGAGCTACTGGGCCTTACTGGGCACCTCCCCAGTCCATATGGCAGTCTCTGCAGCCCAGTGGTTAAAGGCTCAGGGCAGAGATGCACCTCTTTTGTCAGGTTCAAGTTTCACTGACACCCCACAGGATTTTCCCTTTCAGAGGCAAGGGGTTGTCCTAGAGCTCCCTCCCACTAGCAATGCCCCACCTGCCCAAGTCAGGGGCACTGCTCTCCCAGCCTGCCCCAGCTCCAGAACTCAGCAAGCATGGGGGCTGGCTGCAAACTGAAAGGAAACAACTCTGCAAGGAGAATTATGACCGGGGCTTCAATCAAAGGGTTAAAGGGCAACTGAATACTCACGAGAGATCATCTTTCCATCCTCTGGGCTTCTGCAAAAGGCCTCAAAAAACTGAAAAGAAACAAGAGACAATGAGTTAGTGTGAGTATCTTGACAGCACTTTAAACCTAGAGCACAGGGATAAACAGAACAGTCCAGCCGACATAGCCTGGGAGTGGAGTTCAGAGACCTGTGCCCTATAGCTAGCTCTGCCACTGATCAGCTGAGAGACTTGGGCCAAGATTACCAATCTGCAAGGAGAAGGGGAATCGCTTTAAGATCAAGGGATGGAGAACGTGGTGTGGAAGGTACAGTCCATTAATTTCTAAATTGAACATAGTGTGAATGGAAGTTGCAGATTTGTACAAGGTCTGTGCAGCTTCTAGGAGCATACAGATCAATTGTGCAACCAATACAATGCAAATTCAACAAAACTCCCACAAGCAAACTCATTCAGCATTTCAAGTGGCCTTTTAGCCAAGGCTTTGGTGAACAAACTGATCTTTGCACCCTAGAGGGCAAACACCAGCTGAGGCTTGACAGATTAAGTGAGGGGGAGGGAAGTAGAGGAAGTAGGGTCACCTGTCAACCTTCCCAGAACTAGCCCTCAGGAGGTCCTGTCTTGCAACACCCAACAAGTCGAGGTTAGTGGACCTGGACTGTAGGAACAGGGTGCCAGAGGCAGCCCCCTCACAAAACAAGAGAGCATCACAGAGAAAGCTCCATGTATTTCATTACCTCAGGTCCATGCTACCTCCAGAATCTGAGCGTGCAGGTTTTGAGAATAGGTTTCTAGCTTTGCACTTTTAAACAAAGCCTTTTAACTGTCCCTGTTTCAGTTTGCACCAATTTAACAATTGCCTCAGTTTGCAGGGAGTCTGAAACAATTGAACTGAGTGGCATGAGCTAACCTGATCTTTTTGTAAGATCCTCTGTCTGAAACCTGACCAGTATGATATTATAGGCCAAGAGGCAATCAGCACGTTCTTACACTCCCTCCAGAAGTGGTGCAATCACCTACCCTGGAAATCTTCAAGAGGAAACTGTACAGTCTCCTCGCTGGGGTCACCTAACCCCAGTTGTCTTTCCTGCCTACTGCAGGGGGGCTGGACCCGATGATCTTGCGAGTTCCCTTCCAGACCCTGACAATCTATGAATCTATGGGGTACCTGAGTTAGGATAGCTCACTGCTCCACCACCTAGTCCTCTCTCCTCCAGCAGCAGCAATCCAAGCAAATGCTTATCAGACTGAGGGCTCTTGATCACCACCAGCACTCCAGCTCATACTCACTAATTCCCCACCTTTCCCTCCACATAACTAACCTCCTCTTTGCTTGTGTCCAGAAAAAGTGATTTCCATGGGAGTCTGGGGGATTACCAATTTACAATCACTCCTTGGCCACCAGCTCCATGAGGGACATTTCCTAACCAAAGCTAGTGCAAGGTGGAGACAGAATGGGTATGCATCAGTGTGCAAGGCACTATCCTTAAGCAGCTGGGACTGGTGCTTGCAGTTACCAGGAAGGGAGAGTTCCTTGTGGATCTTCTACCCTTGTTGCAGCCACAACACAAATACGACCCATTTAGGGAATCACTAGTGTGGGCACCACTTCCACCAGATTTTGACCAGTCAGAAGTTGGTGCATACAAGGTAAAGAAAAAAGGAATCAGAGAAGTCCATGCCTCTCCACCACCTCTGCTAGCATATAAAGGCTGATAAGCAAAACCCACAGGATTTATTTTTGTGGGGAAATGAGCAGAATATTAAAACATTAACCAAATTGCTGACATTTTTTTTCCAACAGCACTCACCATTTACTGTAGGCAAAAACCAGTCATGTTAATATTCAGATGTTTTTATAGTGCCCTAGAGGTTCTGAGTGATGTTCAAAAACCCAATAACTATCAGAGGATAACATACCATTCAGATTCCCAACATAGATGAAAACTAAGTTTTGTTTTCAGGGACAAAAAACAAGTGAGTTTTCAGAGAGATTCCTGAGCTACTTTACCATAAAATCCTACTGGAGACAACTTGCAGCAGTTCTTGCTGCTGTGTAGCTAGGTAACATTAGCTGTTAGTGAACAGTAGGGTCCTGACTTTGCCTGGCTACATTACAGATGCCTTGTCTTCACTAAGCTTCTAGTGCAGAATAATTAAGATTATCTCACTTAAAAGCAAAACACACATTTCTTTTTAGATATGAAGACATAGCCAGAGATTTAACTGTACATCCTGCTAACTATCTATTAATTAATTTGACTTAACAAAAAGCCAGAGAATAGCACAGAAAGTGAATAATGAAAGGAAATTTAAAAAATTTTCCCTGCTTTACATAATCTGAAGGGTTACAAAAATGTGATGATTCTCACCAAGAAGGATTTTCATTGACCCTTTCTCTTTGAAGGAGTTCTTGGAAACAGTTCTGGCCTTGGGTCAGAGAATGTCTGTGGCAGACACATTTTAAATAGACAGACACTGTATTTCCCTTTGCACCAGATCAGAGGGCACTGCACCATCCCCTCAACCAGAACTGATTGAATCCTTAAACATCCACTTTCATCTGGGAAGGAGCACAGGCAGTGCAAGAGCCACACTGGGCCACTGAGAAGAGAGTGATGGAGACTTTGTTGGCTTTGTCCCCCAGACTCTAAATCTTGGAGAGCGCTACCTATGGAGACTCCCAAAGGGAACACACAAAAGTGTTGGGGAACAGCGGCCCCAAGGTCACGGTGGGCCGAGGGCAGAATCGGAACAAACAGGCGGGATTGGCGGCAAGGAGCCTGAGTGGTCCAGGAGACACGCGTGCGGTTTTAAAACAAATGGATTTTATTCACTTACGCTTTTGGAGCGTAGGCAGAGAAGCTTGCTTCGGTTACAGTTAGAACGAATTTAACGAATGACAAAGGAAACTGTTGGCCCACAGGGTTCCCAAGCGAGCCCTTGCTTTCTACCCCGAAGGATAGGTGCGGCTGCCCACTCGATAGTCCCAGGGCTGGTCAACAGCTTATTGAACGGGTGACAAACAACGAAAACTGTAACACGGTGTGACGCCAGTCCAAGGTGGACAAACAGATGATCGGTGCCGAGGTCGATGAAGAGTGATGCTGAGGTTACTGCACGGTATGGTGAAACGAAGCTGTAGTCGAAGTGAGTCGGGTTGATCAGAATCGTGGTCAGGATCGGTGCCAAAATCAGTCCGGTAGCCAGGAGATCAATACGAGAACGAAGGGGAATCGAAGAGCCAATTCGCAATGAGGAGGAGACCAATAGGCCTGAAGCCCTCCAGAAGAGCAGTCCCTGCAGCCGCAGCCTCTGCTCTTTGGATCCATCTCTCCCTGTCTCACAGTCCCTGCCAAGGCAGCCTCTGCTTACAGGTCGAGCACAGTCTCCCCTCACACACCCACCACCACACTGACAGAGAGAATAACAACAACAACCCCAAAGGTGGGGGCTCACAAGCCCTTTATGGCAACCAAGTGGCCAATCAGGTTGCTTGCTTTGAAGAATTTTCTAGTTCTATGAAGTCATGCTCTTAGCCAAACTGAGCATGCCTCTGATTAGATTCTGTATATGACTGAGCCTGCACATGGTGGAAAAGTAGGTCACGCTTGTTTGACAAGCCAACAGGTCACCCAGGGGGCTCATGCTGGGCACCCTGTGGAATTTTCCATTAACCTGGCTTGTTTGCACATGTCAAACTTAACTCTTGTGTTGCCAGCATACATTCAAAATTTGGTCCGGACAAAAAGGAACAGCAGCAAACCTCCAACAAAGACTCCTGTAACGTGCTTGGCATCCTGCGTGCCCCTATGCCACTTTGTAAACAATAATTCATTGTGATGGTTTCTTGTCCCCCTCCTTCTCCTGTCCAAACTTCAAAGCAATTCCAAATTCTGGGGACTGACCACCTGTTAAGAAGACATCTCTGAAGGCTTGGCTGACTCCTTATACAAGCCAAACTTCAATCCAACATAAGCAAATATTTAAAGTATATTTATTTACACAATTAGCTTCTGGGTATAGGACCAAGGGGAAGAATTAGAAGTAACAGCCAACAACAGCAGAGCCATCAGACATCCTCAGAATAGCTTGCAGGTGGCAAAAAATTTCTCTCGGTGTCTCTGTGGCACAAAGACTCAGTAGCATAACCAGATGGGGGAGGAGGGCACCAGACCCAGATGCCAACTTTGGGGAGAACCAAAAATAGCAGCCCTCATGCTAAGGGCCCAACCATCACCCCTGGCAGCCTGGTTGCAGCCCTGTCCACTGCTGCTACCCAGGAAACAATAAAAAAGGGAAGCCAGGTCACCTGTGGTCATCCCCACAGTCCTTGTGACAAGACCTGAAGTATTTTTTCCAGCATTCTTGAACAATTCTTGCATGCAGCTATGCCCTGCCTACCTTAATCCCTGACAAAGCTGCATATGTACATTGGATTCTTTACTTCCTACTCTGGAGTGCAAGGAAGAGGTGCTGCCTGATTTTAAACAGCTGCTGTGTGTCACTCCATAAGGGGCTGCACTTCACAGAAGGGGATGTGGGGCAATTCCTAGATCATTTGGAAAGCCCTTGGGGAGCACAGGGGTGTTTACCCACATAGATGCAAGACCCTCACTCATCAGAGCAGACAGGCCACAAAAATGGCTCTCTCAGCCTGAAGGGGTACTCTAAAACACAGGGTGCTCAGCTAACAGGCACTCTCAAGAGGCCTCTCTCCTAGGAAATGAGCTGGACATCAGTGCTACCGGAGGGTCTCCATGGCAGTAGGCCACACATAGATGTCATATATTTCATAGATATTAGGGCTGGAAGGGACCTCGGAAGATCATCAAGTCCAGCCCCCTGCCCCAGGGGCAGGAAGTCAGCTGGGGTCATAGGATCCCAGCAAGATAAACATCCAAATTTCTCTTGAAGGCGTTCAATGTAGGTGCATGAACCACCTCTGGTGGCAAGCTGTTCCAGACCTTGGGGGCTTGGACAGTAAAGAAATTCTTCCTTATGTCCAGCCTGAAACGGTCTTGCTGGAGTTTATAACTGTTCAACCTCGTCATCCCTTGGGGCGCTCTGGTGAACAATCGTTCCCCCAGATCCTGGTGAACACCCCTGATAAACTTATAGGTGGCCATCAGATCACCCCTGAGCCTCTGCTTTTCCAAGCTAAAAAGCCCCATGGCTCTCAGCCTGTCATCGTAAGGTCTGTTTTCCTGACCTCTGATCATGTGAGTGGCTCTTCTCTGGACTCTCTCAAGCTTCTCCACATCCTTTTTGAATTGCGGGGCCCAAAACTGGATGCAGTACTCCAGCTGTGGCCTCACCAAGGC